GGGGGGGGGGGGGGGGGGGGGGGGGGGGGGGGGGGGGGGGGGGAAGGACTGGAGAACTTTGTTTCTCTGAGGGCCTCTGGCTGCTGCTTGTAGGAAGCTTGTTAACAGAGTTTTCTCTGCAATCTGTGCATCAGTTTTTTTCATGTGTGGACTTGGCGGATTGCAATCCAGAGACATCTTCCTGCTGTTAGATGTACGTGTGTGTGTCTTTCAGGGGGTGGTAGGGAAGATAAAACAAAGAGTTCTCTGGAGCGTGGAGCCAGGGTACCCTCTGCTAGGCACGGCTTGTCTGCTCTCCTAAGATGAGGGGAGACTGATTCCACAGGGGGCCTTTGAGACGGAGGGGGCTAGGACAGGGAGGAGCAGCATTCTGGGCAATTCCACCATCTTTTTTCTCTGCTTTTTGCCTAGTCCTGAAGGAGAGTGCCCTCACAAAGCCACTTCTCATGGTTTTCCATAGCTGCTATCAGGCACCTCATCTTTAGAAAGCTAATTCTAATTAAAATATTACCCTTTCAAGAGACCCTTCCCAGGCTTGGGAAAGGGGAAGGAGGCTCCTCCAACTCCAGCGGCCACCAGAGCAGAGGGAATATTTATTACCTTTCTGGATATCATTACCTAAGAATACAATTTTATGAACTTCCTAATCTGTTAGCTTGATTTATCTGGATGGGCAGGGACCCAAAATAAACATTTGGGGTATTTGGTAGAAAAAAAAGTCTTTGCCTCTGACCAGTCTTCCTGATAGAACTGACCACCCCTTTGGCCTGCTTTCAGTGCACCCTGTATCACTTAGCCCCGTTTTAATTTTTCTCCTGCAGCGTGTGGCTGCTTTGGGTATCCGAGTTTTAGCTGCCTCTTGACAGTTAAAAATGGTAGAGTGCCCTGTTTGAACCTGCAAGGATCCCTCAGCCACCGCAAAATCTGTGCAGCTGGAGGAGCTTGGGTCCCCTTTGGATTTGGGGTGCAGAGAGAAACCAAGGTTTGCTCCTTGCCCTCCGGGTCCAGGAGCCCCTTCTCAGACCTGGCTCCCCCTCCACTCAGGATTTTTCTGTTCTTCTCTCTGGTATCAGCTCTGGAGCTTCTCTGAACATAGGGTCCATCCAGAAGCCAAGCCCACATCCATGGAGCAGGGGTGAGGGCCTCTGTGGCTCCGTCTTCCTGTTTGCCAGTCCCTGCAGGCCCAGCTAGCTGATAAATCAGGAGACAGGCAAGACAAGGATGGGTGGAGAGGGTCTCCCAGAATGTTTGAGGATGAACAGGGTTACAGAGCCTAATAATGGAAAAGGAACTATTTTAAATTTCCAGTCACCATCAGCAATTGCCAGATTCCCTAAGATGTAGGGTCCTCCAAGGTCTGCTTTGCCAGCCATTTTAGCAGTGTGGGTCAAGCCCAAAGAAGTGTCACCTCTCCTCACTCCTCCTTTCTGACCCTCTCTTCCCAGCATCACAGATTGGGAGAGAGAAGTATATTTGAACTTCCAGGCAGAGAAACCCTAAAACTGAGCGTGTAGGAGGCACTGCGAAATAGCCCAACCCTAGGTTCCCGCTCTTGGACTCTGGTTTCCCGGGAAGCCAGGCGCCAGAGAATGGGCACAAAGCCGCTGCCTCATGGGCGGTCCCAGGTGCCCTTCTCGGAGCAGCCAGGGTCTTGAGGATCGCGAAATGGGGCCCAACTGGGGAAAGACGAGATGCGAGGGGCCAGCAGCTGCCCGGCTCCTCCTCCGGGTTCCATCCACGCCGCCGCGTCAGCTCCAGGCGCAATGCCGCCTTCAGCTGGGTCACGACCCCGGCTCGGCTCGGACTGCGGACAATAGGGTGCGGGGCGGGGGCCGCGGCTGCGTGGCCGGCCGAGCGGGTTCACAGCGCGGTGAACTCCGCTCCACCTCCCTGCCGGGTCTCGCCCTTTAGAGCCCAAGATCCCTTTTCCTGCTCCTATTCCACCTTCCATTTTTTCGCGGAAAATTGAACAGACTCTCAATTGCCTCTCGACCTACCAGGACCCCACCGGTACCACCACCAAAGAAGGAGATTTCACTTTCTTTAGAAATGAAAGGACAGTTTTCTCCGAGTTACAAGAGTAGGAAATGGGACCCTCTCGAGACTTTGGTGGGGACGGAGAGGGCAGATCTAGTTAGCAGCACAGCATCCCAAAGCCGGACTTGGCGGCTCTGAAGAG